AATGATTTTTGTATAGATCCCCAAAGTGAAAGCTAGGCGTCAGTCAGATCCAAGTGGTTGTGGGTTGAAGCAACATAAGCAGAAAAGTCCAAGAGACTCTATCTCCAAAATATCTAGCAAAAATCCAAGTTGGAGCCATCTCTGAAATTGTAGGGTGCCAGCTGAACAAGCCATCTGAGCAAGCACAAGGGCCCGAGTTCAAACCCTGGTATGAGCAAAAAGCAAAAGCAAAACCAAACCCAAATGGAATTGCCTCAGACTAAAAGGCTTCTTTACAGTGAGCAATCAATAAGGTTAAAAACAAAAACAGGAGAAAACATTTGCAAGCCAGACACCTAGTAAAAAAAGAAGTTAAGATCCAAAACATAGAATATACTTTTTTAAGATTCAATAACAAGAGCACAAATAATCCAAAGGGGAAAAGTAGGCAAAAGATTTGAACAGACACTTCTCGACATGCTTCCATTTGAAGGGTATAAGTTGATAATTTTTCACAAGTGTATGCACCAGTGTCATTTCCACTAAAATTAAAATATAAAACTTTCCATCACTTGTAAAATTCCCCTGTTGCTCCTTTACAGAAGAGCTTTCTCTCTAGGCCAACACACTGCATGTTAGCAGTTGCTTACCCATGGAGACATGTGGTACGTAGTCACTTGTGGCTGGCTTCTTTGACTTGGCCTAATGCCTTTAGAATTCATCATACTGTTCCGTCTGCTTCCTTTCTTTTTGGCCGAGTGATACCCATTGCATGGATATGTTCGAAGTTGCTTGTATAATCATTAGATGTTGAAAATTTGGATCGTTTCCAGTTCTTGGCGCTTATAAATCTTTAAAACTACCATTAAAAATTCATCTTCAGGCATCTCATTGTGTATGGATATATGTTTCTATTTCTCTTGTGTAGTACATTCCTTGGAGTAGAATTTTGGGGTTCTACAGAAAGTATGCTATTTAACTTATAAGAAATGAAAATCTGTTCCCTAAAGTAAGTTGTACTATTTTACATTCCTATCAGCAACATATAAAAATTACAGTTCATAGCAGCATTATTCATAACAGCTAAACCATGGAAACAACCCAATTATTCACTGTCAAAATGAATAATAACTATGGTGTGAATATATGGTATTCCATAAGAATACCACAAACAATTAACTACAGCTATATGTATCAACATGTCTAAAACATAAAAAAAGCAAAAAGAAACTGGATGCCAGTGGCTCATGCCTGCAATCCTAGCTGAGTTCTGAGGATTGCATTTCCATGTCAGCCCAGGCAGAAGAAGCAGTGAGACTCTTATTTTTAAATAGCCACCAAAAAGCTTGAAGTATAGCTGTGGCTTAAGTGGAAAAAGAGCAAAAAAAAGCCAAGGGACAGTACCTGGGCCCTGTGTTCCAATCCTAGAACTAGCACAATAAAAACACACCATCTATTCATACCTAGATGTGGATAGTTCTAAAATGTACTAATCTGGGCAATAAGTACACAGGCATTTGTTTATTTTCATTCATCTTTAAGTGACATAATACATCTTATGAATGCATATATTTTTATAATAGAAGTTCAGAAATAAAATAAGATAGTTATGGGGTTGGGGATTTAGTTCAGTGGAGGAGTGTTTGCCTAGTGAGAGCAAGGTCCTGAGTTTGGTCCTCAGCTCTGGGGCGGGGGGAGGGAAAGACTATATAAGTAAGATAGTTGGTATTTCTTTTGTCTTATTTGCTTTTCTTTAAAAAGAAAAATAAGCTGGTACCTGGTGGCTCACACTTGTAATCCTAGCTACACCGGTTGAAATCTGAGGATTGTGGTTCAAAGCCAGCCTGAGCAGGAAAGTCTGTGAGACTCTTACCTCCAATAAACTACTCAGAAAAAGCTGGAAGTGGCTCCGTGGCTAGCACCACTTTTTTGCTAGCCTTGAGCACAAAGAAGCCCAGGGACAGTGCCCAGGCCTTGAGTTTAAGCCTCAGGCTTGGCAAAATAAAATAAGAAAAAGCAATTGATTTTGTCCTCTATTTTCATGTAGTTTCCTAACTCTCTTTAGTGTCTTGGGTCCTTCCTCTAAGAGGTCATAGCTCCAGTCCTGAAGTAATTCTGGGATGTCTGTCCTCTATCTCCCAGGGTGAGAACTCAGATGTCAGACTCCCAGTAATATTAATGGTAGTAGTTAAATTCATAAATCTTGGTTTATGGAGATGAGGACATATAGTCCACCCAATGACCAAAAGTGGCTTGAGAAGAATTATTATTATCCTTTCCTGGAAAGGATACATTCTGTATTTATTTCTTTTCTGATGGAATTATTTAAAACCAAGGTTGAAAACCATAATAAAAGGTACTGATAGTTAAATATAAAGGACATACTATCAATTCCAGAAAACCCAGTTGGTCATCTATTGAAGAAGGAGACTGCAATACTGACAGTTAAATTGTCTTCCATACCTCTCTAGGTCACATTGTAGCAATATAAATTGAAGAAACTGAAATTTTCATAAGCTAGAAAAGGCTAGTAAGGAAAATGGAAAGATGGAAAGAAATAAGTTTTTCATGGGGTTTAGTAATATTATAAAAGCAAAAAAAATTTACAGAGTTCCTTCAGATGATGCTTTTCTTTCTCCTTCCTTCGACATTATTACTGAAGGCAATATTTTCATAACAGTTGTAATTTGGTTATGACTTTGACTATAACTATGTTAGAAAGACTAAAATTGTATACTTGAGTAAAATTCCATTTCCTCTCAAAGACCTTATAACTACTCGATTTTGAAATTTCTTTATAGCTGCAAATTATATGCAAATTATTCCACAAGCAATTTCAAATATAGAGGGCTAGAAACTGAGTTTATTAAATAATAATAAAAATTACCAGTAAGTAAACACTTAGGGACAGCTATTAAAATATGAATTCCACCAATTAAAAATAGCTTAATATCAATCACTAGTTTGACTTTAAGTGTGCACTAAGATGAAGTAATGAAATACTCTTTTATTGTGTTTCTTGTTTTTATTAGCAGTTGTCAAACATTTTGTCTCCTATGGCTACGAGAGATGGTAAATAAGCCACATAAAGGTGGAATTGGCCCTTTGACTTATTTCCTCCTGCTAACAAATGACTGAAGATCTATTTCCTGTTTCTTTCTGATCATTATAGCTTTGTGAGGACTCTCATTTGTTTTAATTTAAATTTTATCATAAAGGTGATATACAGAAGGGTTACAGTTACATAAATCAGAGATGAGAACGTTTCTTTTTGAACCATGTCACTTCCTAATTTTCTCCCAGTTTTGTAAAATTCATTTCTAATATAATGTTTAGTAAGTATAACTGTTGAATTGGCTTACCTTTTGCTTCTCATTTTTTTCATAGTGAGCTTTGCTTATTTGTATTAAGTTACAGAAGAGTCTTTCCTAGCTAAAGAATAAATATTTAATTTTTACTTTGGAATATAGGTTTACATTTTAAATAATATGCACACATTTATGCACACAAATATCAAAAGCATTTTATAGGTAAAATACCCCTCGATACTCTTATAAATCCATGTGGTTGATAGCAGAGTTATTAACCATGAAACCCAGAGTTATTCCTTTCATTTCATGCAGATGAAGAAAATTGTCCCAGTGCCTTGGCTTGAGACAGACACAGTATCAGAGTCTCTGTGGTTTCTGAACTCAGTGTTCTTTTGTTATACACATAATCCCCATATGTGATGCTTATCTGTAGTCAGCTTTCTACTACTGTAACAAATACCTGAGCTTAATCAGTTTGTCAAGAGAAGAGTTAGTTTTGCTCAGCATTTTGGAGGTTTGTATCTATTTGGGTCTGTGTTGATACAGATAATCAGGACAGAGTGCCTGGCAGAAAAGGCAGCTCACCTCACAGATGGGATCAAAAAAGGAAGAAAGAAGCTAGAGTTCCATTCCACCCTCTGAGGACACACCTACAATGACCTAAGATCTCTCATTAAACCTTACCTTTCGTAGATTCCATCACATCCCAACATTGCCAACCTGCTGCCTAAGGGGGTCATTTGGGGGACTGTGGGCCTTTGGGAGACATTCCAAATCTAAAATATAGCAATAACCTGATTAAATTTCACTTTTTTTTTGGTCTGTTATGGGGCTTGAACTCAGGGCCTGGGTACTCTCTCTGAGCCTCTTTGTGCTCAAGGCTAGCACGCGACCACCTGAGACACAGCATCCCTACTGGTTTTTGTAAAAAACAAACGTTTGTGAGCACTAATTCCAATCACAAATATTCTTATAAGGAAGAGGAAAAGGGAGAATTAGTGTAGGCAGAAGAGTAAAAGAAAGTTACAGAGAAGAAGTCAAGGTGACCCAGAAACAATGGCCAGGCCTTGAAGTGTTAGGCCAGAAGCCAAAGGATGCTGGCAACCACGGGAAACTGGGGGAGGGCCAAGGAATCGCTTCTTTCCTACAGCTTGCAGCTGGATCATCGTCTTGCAGATGTCTTGATTTCAGTCAAATGTAACCTGTGTTGAACTATTTTCCAGAAGTGGGTGAGAATGAGTTTTTCTTATTTCAAGCTACTCAGACTGTGGCAATTTGTTACAGTGGGGTTAGGAACCACAGAGAAATAATGTGGGAAACTACAGAGAAATAACTCTATGCAATTGATATGTTTATTTTGGAACAGATGGATTCAGAAAACCCAAGGGCTGGCTGTTGAAAAACTTCCAAAACAGAGACTGGTAAAAATGCTAGGATCTCCAAGTATTCCTCTAATAGATAACTTCCTCTGAAAATTAAGGAAATGTTGATGAGTTTTAAAAAGAAATAAATGAAGTAGATGCTAAGATACTAACTCATGTAAAAACAAAATCTTGTCAAAACAAAATCTTGTCATGAATAAGCTAAAAATATTACTAAGAAAGAAAGAAATCTTATTGTATATTTAAATGCCCAAGCCTCAAATATTCCACAGTAAAGAAAGTACTTTTTAGTTCTTTCTTCTTCTTCTTCTTTTTTTTTTTTTAACAGGAACAACACTGGAGCTATCCTGTCTGGAAGTGTGTGTACTCTCTAATTTCACATATTCACTGTCTTTAAATTTTTCTTCTGTGACTTTCCTGCTACCAATAAGGGAAAACCAGACTCTTATGGGAATCTTTCCAAAATATTCCAATTTCCCAAATGTCACTAAGGCTTGCCAAAACATCACAAGTAAATTTACAACGTGCTCCCTGTATTTGGTTTGTGAATCCAAAGGAAACAAGGATTTCGTTTCTAAGGAACAATTGTCAAAAGGTAAACCCAAACTGAATTGGAAGGGGGATGGCGGGGGCGGGGAGGGGAGAATAAAACTTCCCAAGTGTGAATTAACTTATTCTGTTAAAAATCCAGTGCCACTGACACACTCAGTAGTGTGACTTTGGATGAATGGTATCACAGGACTGTTTTTAGGTTAGGTTGATTATCGATAACAAAAGATCTATTTTCAAAATACTATTGTAATGTACATTGCCTGCCTGCCTGCCTGCCTCTTTCTCCTTGGAAGGAAATCCAGAACGGGCATATGGACATAGTTGGGCATTTCTGCCTGGGGTGTTTGATCTTTTTGGTGTTAGACAGTGGCAGAGATTGAAACAGAGGGAAGCAGAGTAGCCTGCAATAAGTGGGCATCTCTCTCTTCATGAAATCTCAGAAGTTTTTCTATAAGTGGTCTCTTAGTTCTGTTATTTTGCTAAGAACACTTATCATGATGTCTAGTCTCAACAAAATTCGAAGTGTAGAGTTCCATATTGTTAACAGTATAGACAGCAGAGCCCTAAAACTTGATCTCTCCCATAGCTGAAACTATATAACCTTTAGCAGCTCCCCATTTTTCCTTTACCACCCCCCACATTTAGCAACCCCTATTCTAATTGCTGTTTCTAATAGTTTGGCCACTTTATTTATTTATTTGTTTATTTATTTACTTATTCATTCCAGTCCTGGGGCCTGGGCACTGTCCCTGACCTTCTTTTGCTCAAGGCTAATACTCTACCACTTGAGCCTAACCCCTACTTCCAACTTTTTCTGCTTATGTGTTCCTGAGGAATCAAACCAGGGCTTCTTACATGCTAGACAAGAACTCTACACTAAGCCACATTCCCAGCTCTACTTTGGCTTTTTTAGATGCTGCAGATAAGGAGAATCATGCAGTATTTTCTCTGTGTCTGACTTACTTCATTTTGCATACTGTCCCCTGAGTTCATTCATGTTGCTACAGTGACAGAATTTCTTTCTTTGTCAAGGCTAAATAACATTGTGTGAGTGTGCATGCAAGTGTACACATGTGTGGTGGTTGTGTGCATGTACCTGGCAAATTTCCTTATCTATTTATCTATCAATGGGCACTTAGGATGTTTCCCTATCTTTGCTATGGTGGATAACATTGCAACGAATATGGGAGCAGAGCTCTCTCTTTGAGATCTGATTTCAATTCTTTTGGATATATACCAGGAAATGGTATTGCATGGGAGCATATGGTAGCTCTATTTTTATTGATAACTTATGTTATCAAAAATTTTATTTTACATTCCTATCAACAGTGTTTATATTTTAGATATTAACTCTTCATCAGGAATCTAGCTTACAATTATTCCCTCCCATGCCACAGGTAGCCCTTTTACTCTGCTGTCATTTATGATGTCATCATTGCACTTGTGCTCATTTGGGGTTTTTCAACAGCAAGATGACTTTGATGGTCAGACAGTTTCATAGTGACTCAAGGCTACTACTGTGTTAGTGTTCCAAAGAACAAAATGGAAATCACTTCTTTGTTTTTGTCTGGCTTAGTTTCACAGTGCTATTAGCTGTGCATTTGATGGATTGTAAGTCTTAACCCCTCTCAGGGTCAAAGGGGAAGGAATGAAATGGCACCTACTTATGGGTGTAGCAAAGTTTTAGAATAATATGCTTTATGTTGAATCGTGTCCTTCCAAATTTTAGATATTGAAGTCTTAGCCACCAATATTTAAAAATAATGATATTAGAAATAGTCATTCTACATACAATTTTGTTTAGGATGGCCCTCGACCAATATGTCTGATTATTTATTTATTTCCTGTGCTTGGGCTTGAACTCAGGGCCTGGGCACTATCCATTAGCTTTTTTCCACTCAAGATTGATACTCTATCACTTGAGCTACACCTCCAACTTCTTTTTTAAAATATGTATTTTTTATTGCAAATATACTGTACAGAGGGATTACAGTTACAAGAGTAAGGTAATGAGTACATTTCCTATTGAGTATTGTTACCCCCTCCTTTGTTTTTCCCCAATCATCCCTTCCCTTCCCACCTCCCCAACTCCTTACTCCGCCACCCTGGAACTTGTAATTTTCAACATTGTGTCTTGCATTGTTTTTTGTTTTTACTAAATTGGAGGTAAAGTCTCATGAACTTTTCTGTCCATGCTGGCTTTAAACTATAGTCCTAAGATCTCATATTCCTGAGTAGGTAATATTACAGGCACGAGCCATAATTTCCAGCTTACAAGAGAAGGCATTCCAGTACAGAGACATACCAGGGCATACACCAAGTGAAGAGGAAGGCAAAAAACAAGGTCGGAGGGCTGGGAAGGTGGCTCAGTGGTAGAGTGCTTGCCTTGAATGCATGAGGCCCTGGGTTCAATTCTCCAGCACCACATAAGCAGAAAAAAGCCGAAAGTGGCGCTGTGGCTCAAGTGGTAGGGTGCTAGCCTTGAGCTGAAGAGCTGAGGGACAGCGCCCAGGCACAGAGTTTAAGCCCCATGACTGACAAAAACAAAAACAAAAAACAAGGTTGGAGTCTACAAAGCAACACATACCAGTGATTGCCAGCAATCTGGCAATATTTTCTTTCATGAGAGGCTGAGAGATTTTTCCTCATACCCTGAAGAAACCAAGCCTGCCCGCACCGTGGCCTTACATTTCCAGCCTCTAGAGCTATGAGACAAAGCTTCTAGTTTGCAGTGCTTGCAACAGTCATATGAGCTGGAAAGTATTGTGAATGCTTTTGGAAACTATGATTCATCCTGTGAGTCTATGTTTTTCTTTACAGGTTACATTCCTATTTCAGCCCTATCTTTGCCTGGCTTTTTTGTAATCTTGAAGTATGAAATCATTTTTACAATTATTTTCAATGTGGGCATCTCTTGTCTCTATATTCTCATATAGAAAGAAGTAGAATTCATGTTGAATTATGTTTTCTTGTGTAGTTACTATTTTGCAAGTCAATTTTTTAATCTTTTCCTAGGTCTTATCACAAAAGGATCAATGGCAGTAAAAGACAGTGACTTTTATGCACCTTGTCAACATTTTAATGTCACCCTAACACCTATTGTTGACAACTTGGAAGAATATAACACAAGCTGCAACCTAAAAACTCACACTGGAACCACAACAATTATGGAGAAGGAGCCAGCCCAGGAAGAGTCCTTAAACCATACTTGTAGAACTGTGGAATATGCTGACAATTGTATTCACATTTATTTGCATCTAGAAATGGATGTAAAAAGTAAGTCCAATAAAGTTATAATAAAAAAGAAGAAATCAGAGATAGATAAAGAAGGCCTATCACATTTACCCAAGTTGAAGAATTTTAGTGATTAAATAGTAAGACTTGAAGGCATCTTAGTCTTTTTATGTGTTTTTTTCTTTTTAAAAATGAGCTGTTTATGGGTTTCAGTCTTCATCTGGGAAGAGTTATTCTCTATGGGCCATGATTTGAGATGAATTATGAAGGTCCTCTGATCCCAGGAATGATTTCAGGCCCGTCTATTAGCTGTGTGTGATGTAAAGTCATCACACATGGATATCAAGGGGTAGAGGTTCATGTTCTTTGCCATGTGTTATTATATTTGGTTTTGAGTTGACTTAGCATATTCTCTCAGAACTGAGAACCAGACCTAGATAAAGGGAGCTTTTTGATATATAACACCATCAAGATTAGGCACTTAAGGTCACTAGATGATTCTAGGAAAAGCAGACAAATAAATTTTACATATGTCTTACTTCTGCTTAAGGCTGATTAGCTTCCTACTCACACTACTCTGAATGACTTCACTCAGTCCTTTGTGCAAAGTCATGTGCATTTCATCCATAAGGTCTACTCTTAGCATTTTGTGATGCCTTTATTTAATGAATGCCTTCTGAATGTCACATCATGTGCCAGGCACTGGGGACAGAGCTAGACCAATTTAAATATCTAGGAGAGGAAGACACACACATAAACACCACACACACACACACACACACACACACACACACACACACATTCCAGAGCTACAGGTGCTATGAAAGAGCAAGTTGCTGTGTTTTTCGACATGTCAACCATAGGAAGCTTATATATTGCTTTAGAATGCTTCTCTAAAGCTTAATTCTTTTAGAAGTTCTTTTAGAAATAAGGCATTTAAAGCAAACACAAATGTCATTTTATGCCCTTTTTAGGTAAACTGTGACTTTAGAGAAATTTCTCCTGTGATTAGTTTGCCTAGAGCCCTACAGTTACTACAGTGAGGGGTATAATAGAATGTGAGTGTCGGGGGGCATGGAAGAGGATCTGAAAAGATCTTGACAAAGGACTTGATTCTCCCTGGTTCAGAGCAAGAAAGAAGGTACACAGAGGGGCTTACAAAGTCTGTACATGACTGTGTCCTGAACTAGCTGTGGTCATCCATGTTGAATCTTTGGTCCCTGGGTCTGCTAGCCAGTGTGTCTTTCATACAGCCAAGGGAAACCATACTTTATTATTTGCTGGATGGCTCCCTCTTTCTGAGTTTATACCATATCTTGGTTGAATTTAGACCAGGGAAACTGTTATGTTCACTGTGACCTGACCATAGGCCTGTAAACAACTGAACATCTCTTACCTGGTGAGGAGAGGGTCTGATCACTCACCTGTCCTGGCCCCTCATAGGCCTCAGTCTTCTTCATCGTGCTTGCCATCACTTCCACCGATTGGTTCTGAGACTGCTGTGTGGTAGTCTTGATCTAGTGATGGCACTGACAGGGAAACTCATATCAGCATTGCTTGTATGAGAAAGGAATGCTAGAATTTTGGAACTAAATAAATCCCTGAAAGCCACCTGGGCCAGCTTCCTTATTTAAAACCCTCATTTAATACATCAGGAAGGAACTCAAGGCAGCAAGTAACTCGTGATGAGTAAAGCTACACCCTCAGCTTCCCCAGGAAGGGAATGTACCCCCATGTTGCCCCTTATCTGCTTTACCTTTTATTGTATTTTTATCATACGTTGTTTTCTTCACAGATGTCACTTGCGCCATGAAGATCACTTGGTACATTTTAGTTCTATTAGTTTTCATACTTTTGATCCTCTTCATTATCTACAAAGTACTTGAAGGTCACAGAACAGGCCGGAAGTGGCAGAGTGAGTACTGAGAAAGAAATCCTTCGTGTAAGAGGTTCTATTGTAAGTCAAAGAACTTCTCTGTGGACTACATTTTCTTTTCATTCAATGTATCATTTGCTGTATACCTACTACGGGTACATGGTGATTTTTAGGTACTCCAAGAAATAGAGGGAAAATTTAGATAATCCAGAAGACCCAGCACCAGCAGTCATGTATCTTTCTTATCCAGAGAAGTGAATGGGAGGATAAGGAAGACTGGGTGAATAAGAAGTTGAATGGGGCTTCAAGGAGGTCAGGGAAAAGAGGCAGAAGGCTAGGAAGTGGTGACAGCTTCAGTTAACAATCTTGAGCAGAGTGGCCCCAGATGGTAAGTATGAGTGGAATTTTAATGTGTGTGTGTGTGTGTGTGTGTGTGTGTGTGTGTGTGTGAAGAGGGAGAGAGGTGCTAGTACCCCTCCCCCCTCTAACTGTTAAAGCACTTGCCTAGTAGGCGCCATGCTCTGGGATCAATCCCTAACAATACACACAGACACAGACACACAGACACACACACAAGAATGGGTGTCAGTAGATCCTGGAAAGAGAAGATTTAGCAGATATAACTGGAAGTCAGGACAATAAGAACAATGTTAAAAATATTTAACAAAGCCAGGTGTGATGTTACATGTCTATAATCATAGTACACAGGAGGCTGAGACAGGAAGATATTGTGTTTGAGCTAGCTTGGACTACATATTTAGACCTGGTCTTAAAGGATCTCCCCCCCTCTATATACCTATAGATCTATCTATCTACAGATCTCTCTCTCTCTCTCTCTCTCAGTAGTTTGCCATAGGCACCCACCAGAGTGGATTGTCAGAGAGCGGCATGATGATACTGGTGTGTATGTCAGCATACACTAGCTGAATGTAAGGTCTGATGGACAGTTTATAATATGAGTAGTTGATCTCTTAAAATGCATCAGCTTAAGAATAGCTTTAAAGACAGATGTGAGAGTCTCAGTACTACCTTAATTAGCTATAGACTTTGAGCAAGTTAACATAGCTAAATATGCTCTTCTTCTTCAGTTAAGGATCGAAACAAAGAGCTTCTGTAATTAGGTGTGGTGGCTCAGGCCTGTATTCCTAGCTACTTAGGAGACAGAGATTGAGAAGATGGTGGTCCGAGGCATTCTGGGAAAGACTCAGTCTCAACCAATAAAGTTGGACACAGTGCCTCATGCCTGTCATCCTAACCACTCACAAAGTATAAACAGGAGGATCAAAGTCCAGTGTAGCCCAGGTATAAATACTTATTTAAAAACTAATTGATGCCAGGCACGAGTAACTCACACCTGTAATCTTAGCTATCAAGGCAGCTGAGATTTGAGGATCGACATTCAAAGACAGACTGGGCAGAAAAGGTCATGAGACTCTTGTCTACAATTAACCATGAAAAACCAGAAGTGGAGCTGTAGCTAAAAGTGGTAGAGCACTATCCCTGAGCAAAAGAGCTCAGGGACAGCCTCCAGGGCTTGAGTCCAAGCCCCATGACCAACAAACAAAACAAAACAAAAACAAAAACAGGACTGGGAAGGTGGCTCAGTGGTAGAGTGCTTGCCTTGCATGAATGAGGCTCTGGGTTCGATTCCTCAGCACCAAATAAGCAGAAAAAGCTGGAAGTGGTGCTGTGGCTCAAGTGATAGAACACTAGACTTGAGCTGAAGAGTAGAGGGACAGCGCCTAGACCCGGAGTTCAGGCCCCATGACTGACATAAAAAAAAACAAAAAACCAAAACCAAAACCACAACAACACACAACAAAAAAACAAAAAAATCACCCTAAACCTAATTGAGGAAGGGATGACATCATCCCAAAAGAAATGTACTCATTACCTGACTTATGTAACTGTAACCTCTCTGTACATCAGCTTTATAATAACAACAATTAAAAACCAATTGATATGTTGAATTAAAACCCCTTTGTACAACTACAGAAAGATAACTAAAAACATTCTTAAGTAATTAAAGCAAAAGGGGTTGGGGCTTTGCACAAATGGTAGAGTGCCTACCTAGAAAATGCGAGGCTCCGAGTTCAAATCCAAGCAGCCAAAAATAAAAAGGAAAAAGAGGTGATTGAAGACGTTAAACATAGTGTCTAGTGCAGAGTTAGCTCTCAGTAAAGAGTAGTAGCATTATGGTGATTGCTTATTTCCAAAGTTCTTATTAAGTTTATTACCAGATTGTTTCAGTAGCAGAACAAGAGCTTGTTTCTAGGCTTGAATAAGAAGACCCTTCATTCTTTTGGCTAAGAACTTGTTGCAGATAGTTTTGAGAACAGTTTTCTATCAAGTCTTGTCTCTGATATTTTTGGGTGTATTGGGGTTGACCTCGTAGCCTGTAAGGCAGGTACTCTATCACTTGAGCTATGCTTCCATGCTTCCCTTCTGGCCTTGGTTATTTTTGAGGTAGGGTCTTTCTGTATGCCTGGGCCAGCCTTCGCTTAGAGTCTTCTTCCTGTGCTTCCCATGACACTTTGGATGATATGCACATGCCACTTTGCCCAGCTATTGTTTTCTCCTGTAGCTGGGATAAAGGCCTGTGCCTTTGAGTGAGATGGACTCTCTAAAACTTTTATGCCAGGACCAGCCTTGAGCAAGGTACATTTCACAGAGCATGAGAAAGAATGGTATCTATGGTAGCGGAGAAATCACAGATTTTAGAAGATGGGACAAAATGGAATAGGGAAACCTTCTTGACAACTCCTTACTCCACATCTTGCTGTGAATGGCTCTTGCTCCTTGTGACCCTTGTGTCCACCCAGGAATTATGTGGTAAGAATAAGCTTGTTTCTCATCTGAACGTTTCATTTCTTTTCTTGGAATAGGTGATAATTGCAAGTCTATGGCTGGTCTCTTTGGAGGAGGTGATTCTGAGAAACGAAGGGCGTTGACTGCGTGGGTTATTCCAGGTGAGTTCGGCTGTCTGCACAGGGAGCATGCTCAGGAAATTCCAATGCTGTATCATTTCAGTAGAGAGTCAGCTCAAGATCTCAGCTCATTTACATCAGCCCTGTATCTGCTATAAAGGAACCCCAGGCAAATGAAATCCAGCTTAATATGTCTTATTATCCGAGGACAGTTGCAATCAAAACGACCTCCTTAAATAATGGAAAGTTGGCTTAATTGGTAAGAAGAAACTCGGGTGAGTAGGCAGAGGAGAGAAAGCAATGAGGAATAAAAGTCTCAGATTTGTTTTGAAATGAGACAAGATACCATTATTCCTCAGAACTGCAGGAAGTAATTGCAGAGTGGGCATGGCTTCTGCCGGAGTCTTTGCTTTGCAGAGGGTGTCACTGTGGAAAGAGAACTTCTAATAGCCCCAATTAAAAAGCCCCCTGTCCTCTCCAGAGAAGCAGAAATGGAATCATGGGCCCCTAATTACAGTAGCTAAGGGAGCTGTTGGTACAGATTCGGGGGGGTTCATCTCTTTCTAATTAGGAAGCCTCCATTTGAATTCATGCTGTCAAATTGCATTAAAAAGAAAGAAGGGTGGATTTCTTTTTCATATGGACAAAATCCTCATCTTGGATTCTGGAAAGCACAGAATTACTGTGGCTATTACTCACACTGTCTCCCTCCATACTCCATGAGAAGATCCAAAAGGAAGCTGCAGGTCTGGTGTGGAAACACTTTTCAGAGCTGAAACCAGACAATACTCTGTCCCCAAACTACAGCCATAGGCACCTGGAGACCTGCCTGACATTTTACTGTTGGTTAGCTACTGAAATTAGCAGGGAATCAGACCCTTAACTTGGGGAAAAATAGGATGCACCTGAAGAGTTCCATTAAAAAAATAGACTTTGTACTCAGTGTTAGTCAAATGACTAAGCCAGGGCTGCTAAGAAACTCCTGTTACCTGTGAGCTAAGATGATGGGAACTCTGAGTGGTTAGTGAACATGGTGGTTGGTTAATAAAAGGTACTGAGTTGTTTTAAGTGGAAAACTTATTTGTGTGTGTGTGTGTGTGTGTGCTCAAGGCTAGTGCTCTACCAGTTTGAGCTACAGCTCTACTTTTGGCTTTCTGGTGGTTGACTGGAGATATGAGTTTCATGGACATTCCTGTCCAGGCTGGCTTTGAACGTCGATCCTCAGATCTCAGCCTCCGGAGTAGTTAGGATTACAGACCAAAAGGAGGAAATAGCATTTCTCCTGGGTGCTCTCTTATCTTATACCTGTGTCAAGATACAAGGAACAGCTTTGTGCAATTCTCCTGGACTGTTGGATTGCCCTAGAAATTCTGGGCATTTCTAGTTTCCAGTCATAATATTGAATACTGAAGTCTTGCCTGAGAAAAATTCAACAGTTCTCTTGTCAACTCATATAATCAGGGGAATCACACAATTTTTTGGGGGGGGTGTTGGTTATGGGACTTGAACTCTAGGCCTGGGCGCTGTCTCTGAACTATTTAGCTCAAGGCTAGCGCTCTATCACTTGAGCCACAGTACCACTTCCAGTTTTCTGTTGGTTAATTGGAGATAAGGGTCTTAAGGATTCTCCTGCCTGGGCTGCTTTGAACCATAATCCTCAGATCTCAGCCTTCTGAGTAACTGGGATTACAGGCATGAGCCACCAGCACCTGGCATGGGAATTATAAATTTTAAGTCCTAGCACACCACAGTACTACCTTCACAAAGTGTGTTTATGAGCCTAGGACTTTCACTCACCCAACGAAGCCTGCCTCAGCCATGTTTTCCTTTGTTAGCTCTCACTAAAAATCCTCTGGCTTTTTGACTGAGTATATAATATTAATGTTCAGTGCAAGCCAAGGGGCCTTAGTCTATTTTAAAACCAAGTAACCTTAGGAGGCTCAGCATCTTCAAGAGGGAAGGAAGACAATGGCTTCTTATTTCTACTCCTTTAACCTGAATGCAATCTCCCTCCCCACCCCATCCAGCTGCTCTTTCTGAGTGAGAAGGAGAAAAGAAACTGTATCTGGGTGCCATTTCTAAGGCTGCTCTTCGCAATGATGGATTGTAGGCCGCAGTGAGCATGGAAGGGAAAGTGTGCCCGTGTGCTTCAGAGGGAAGGCAGTAACATGAGGGGAAAAATGTAGTTCAAAGAAGCCACTATGTCTTTGTCACTTCTGTGCTACTTTTAACAGTCTTGGGTGATTCTAGCTATTCATTTCCCAGTGTCCTTCCAGTTGTCTGGGGACTACAAAGTCAGTATTGTCACTCATTCACACACACACACACACACACACACACACACACACACACAGGTGTAGACAGGTCACACCTCCACAAATGTGTTTATTGTATGAGAGAGCAATAGGAGAGATTCCCAGTACAGCCCAGCAGTACCTCACAAGGCCTGGCTCACCTGGGGAAATTGGGAACATTACAGAATAAAGGAGTCACCACTGTACTGACACAAATCATTCAACATAATGACTCTATGCCTCCCTCATGCTCGCCTTGACTGAGAAACATGGCAGCTTGGTACGAATCTACTTAGCATCTCACTCGTTCAATGGTCATCTGTACCTAGCAGTGACCTTGTCTTATTCATCTTCATATTCACGTCCCCAGCATAACAGTTGGTATGTAGCTCATGCACAATAAAAGTTGGAGAGGAAAAAAAGAGCTGGTGAGCAAGTAAGCAATCTTAAGGATTGGGAAAGATGGAAACAAATGCAGAGAGCAGGAATCGTTAGAACATAATTCAACTTTGGGGTAGGTGCCAGTAAGCTCATGCCTGAAATTTTAGTTACTTAGGAGGCTCAGGTCCAGGGAATTAAGGTTTAGTCTTTGAGACTTCATCTCCAAAACATCAAGCAAAAAAAAAAATCTTGGTTGGAGATATGGCTCAAGTAGTAGAGCCTAAGCTATACAATCATAAGGTCCTGTGTTCAAATGCTGGTACAAGCAATAATAGTAATAATAATAATTATTATATTAATAAGCTGGACACTGTTGGCTTATGCCTGTAATCCTAGCTACTCAGGAGGCTGAGATTGAAGGATCTTGGTTTGAAGCCAGCCTGGGCAGGAAAGTCTGTGAGACCCTTATCTCCAAAAAATTACTCAGAAAAAGTTGGAAATGGCACTGTGGCTCAAGTGGTAGAGCACTAGCCTTGAAGACAGAGAGGCTCAGGGACAGGGGCTAAGCCCTGAGTTCAAGCCCCAGGACTGGCAAAAAAAATTCTGAAGAATCTAGAATTCAATTTCATACAATTGCTAAGTATGTCAAAGAATAATGAAAAACACTGACCATCCTGAAGAAGGCATTTAGAAAACTGTATAAAATTGATCTTAAAATGTATCTCTAAGAGCTGGGATATAGTTTATTTACCTGCTTGATTAGCATGGAGAAGACCCTGGGTTCAATACTAGCCCTGGGGAAAAAGAAAGCACTTCTAAGAGCTGTGAACTAAGATCTAAATCATTGGCTTCAGATCCTAAAAACCCACTTAACTGACTACAGACAAGTGAAGTACTGGAAAACCAGTAGATACCATAGAACAATAGGCAGGCCAGGCAATCCAAGCTTAGAATAGACAGGAATTTAAGGGGCCAAAAAGTAAAAAACTACAACCCAAGTGTCAATCTCAGAAATAGCCTAACAAGAACAACCTTGCTGTTGCCGCCATTGGTGGCTCTCTTTGAGCAACTGTGCCCCTTCCTCAAATCACTAACCCCCAAAAAAAGAGGGAGCTTTGTTCTCTTCTCAGAATTGCAAGCCCCAAGGAGAAGCATCTGGCAACTGAGTATAGACTACAGAATGGAATTCTGAGTGGAAGAAAGAAGAGAGAGGAATTATCGCCTGCTCTGGCTTTCCTTGTACTTGAGATGTCTTGAGATGTTCATATGCCCAGAGAGCAGGCAGGCCATAAATATTTCTAACATAAGTTTCTGGGATTAGAGCTGCCTCTTACAGCTGGGGGTCATTTCATAACCATCCTCCCCAAATCCCAAATAGATAAATCTTTACAACTTGGGAGTTCTTCACCTTTCAACACTGAATTCTTCAACCAAATTGTATTGAAGTCTGACTACAGGCCAGCCATTACACCAACATTGGGCCTGCGGTATAGCACAGGCCTTCCTGTCATAGGATTACCCACACAGTTAAGGAGATGCTGTCCCCGGCTGCTTCAGAAGGACAACAAGTATTTCATCAGGCCTCTCTCCCATGCACAATCCAGCCATCCACACATGGTATTTCACAAGGCCTTACTTTTCTTCTGATGTGAAAATGGAAGCTGAAGGAGTTTAAGTTTGCTAGTTTAATTAGTGTGAGAAGGTTCTCGGGAACATAAAGAAAGTAGAATGTTACAATAAGTAACTGACAGAATGGGTTACTGGTAGTGGGAATTCAAACTCAGTTATGTCCAGACCAAAAGCATGTGTTAGCATGATGGCAAATGGGGCAGCTGCTAGGTAAGGCCACAGATCAGAACTCTTCTTGCTTTTTATAATCACAATGGAAACGGTGATACAACGCTTTCTCTATATAAAGTAATAGCAGCTTGTGCGGTGATGTGAATAATCGACAAAGAAACATGTCAGCGTTGGCTGGAATGGTTTTTTTTTTTTTTTTGCTGTGTTGGTGAATTCGAAAGGAACTTAGGGCAAGGAAAAAATGGAATTTTATTGGGTAAGAGAATCAGTAAATGTCAAAAGTAAGTGGATGACCCAGTTTTTATTACCCCTCAAATAAAACTAATGGCTCTATAAAATTATAATTTGCAACATGTTTATGGTCAGTATAATAAAGACTAAGCAAGTTTCAATTTCCTGCAGAAGAGAAGATAAACTACTGGTGCCAGATGTTTTGCAACCCAACAAGATAACATGAAAATTTAATTCCTACTTGCTTAACTATAATATTTATGACTCTTAAAATCCAGAGTTGGGTTCATAAAACAGAAAGGTTATAGCCCTCTACTTGATTACAGAACAGATCAA